AGACAGATTATGAAATGAAAGTGTGGACATTACTACTGATGCAGTTCAGTTCAATTCAGTCACTCAGGAGTGTCTGACTCTGCGACCCCATGGACTACAGCATACCAGGCATCCCTGTCCATCATCAACTCCCAGAATTTACTCAAATTCATGTCCATTGAGTCAGTGATGGACTCATCACCATCCAACCATCTCATCCTCTGTTGTCCCCTTCTTCTCTCGCCTTCAATCTTTACCAGCACCAGGGTCTTTTCAAATGAGTCAGCTCTTCTCATCAGGTGGCCAAAGTATTGGAGTTTCAGCTTCAACATCAGTTCTTCCAATGAACATTCAGGACTGATCTCTTTTAGGATGGACTGGTTCGATCTCCCTGCTGTCCAAGGTACTCTCAACAGTCTTCGCCAACACCACAGTTCAAAAGCATCAATTCTTCAGTGCTCAGCTTTCTTTATAGTCCAACTCTCACATCCATACATGACTACTGGAAAAACCGTAGCCTTGACTAGTCAGACCTTTGTTGACAAAGTAAAGTCTCTGCTTTTTAATACGCTAAGTTGGTCATAACTTTTCTTCCATCTGTAGTGATTTTGGAGCCCCCCAAAAAATAAAGTCAGCCACTGTTTCTGCATCTATTTGCCATGAAGTGATGGGAACAGATGCCATGATCTTTGTTTTCTCAATGTTGAGCTTTAAGTCAACTTTTTCATTCTCTTCTTTCACTTTCATCAAGAGGCTCTTTAGCTTTTCATCACGTTCTGCCAAAAGGGTAGTGTCATCTGCATATCTGAGGTTTTTGATATTTCTCTCAGCAATCTTGATTCCAGCTTGTGCTTGATCCAGTCCAGCGTTTCTCCTGATGTACTCTGCATATAAGTTAAATAAGCAGGGTGACAATATACAGCTTTGATGTACTCCTTTTCCTATTTGGAACCAATCTGTTGTTCCATGTCCAGTTCTAACTGTTGCTTCCTGACCTGCATACAGGTTTCTCAAGAGGCAGGTCAGGTGGTCTGGTATTCCCATCTCTTGAAGAATTTTCCATAGTTTATTCTGATCCACACAGTCAAAGGCTTTGGCATAGTCAATAAAGCAGAAATAGATGTTTTTCTGGAACTCTCTTGCTTTTTCGATGATCCAGTGGATGTCGGCAATTTGATCTCTGGTTCCTCTGCCTTTTCTAAAACCAGCTTGAACATCTGGAAGTTCACGGTTCATGTATTATTGAAGCCTGGCTTGGAAAATTTTGAGCATTACTTTGCTAGCATGTAAGATGAATGCAACTGTGCAGTAGTTTGAGAATTATTTGGGATTGCCTTTCTTTGGGATTGGAATGAAAACTGACCTTTTCCAGTCCTGTGGCCACTGCTGAGTTTTCCAAATTTGCTGGGATATTGAGTGCAGCACTTTCACAGCATCATCTTTCAGGATTTGAAATAGCGCAACTGGAATTCCATCACCTCTAGCTTTGTTCATAGTGATGTTTCCTAAGGCCCACTTGACTTCACATTCCAGAATGTCTAGCTCTAGGTGAGTGATCCCACCATCATGATTATTTGGGTCGTGAAGATCTTTTTTATATAGTTTTTCTGTGTATTCTTGCCACCTCTTCTTAATATCTTCTGCTTCTGTTAGGTTAATACCATTTCTGTCCTTGAGCCCATCTTTGCATGAAATGTTCCCTTGGTATCTCTAATTTTCTTGAAGAGACCTCTAGTCTTTCCCATTCTATTGTTTTCCTCTATTTCTTTGCATTGATCGCTGAGGAAGGCTTTCTTATCTCTCCTTGCTATTATTTGGAACTCTGCATTCAAATGGGAATATCTTTCCTTTTCTCCTTTGCTTTTCGCTTCTTTTCTTTGGCTTCTCTTCTTTTCACAGCTATTTGTAAGGCCTCCTCAGACAGTCATTTTGCTTTTTTGCATTTCTTTTTCTTGGGGATGGTCTTGCTCCCTGTCTCCTGTACAATGTCATGAACCTCCATCCATAGTTCATCAGGCACTCTGTCAATCAGACCTAGTCCCTTAAATCTATTTCTCACTTCCACTGTATAATCCTAAGGGATTTGATTTAGGTCATACCTGAATGGTCTAGTAGTTTTCCCTACTTTCTTCAATTTCAGTCTGAATTTGGCAATAAGGAGTTCATGATCTGAGCCACAGTCAGCTCCCAGTCTTGTTTTTGCTGACTGTATAGAGCTTCTCTGTCTTTGGCTGCAAAGAATATAATCAATCTGATTTCGGTGTTGACCATCTGGTGATGTCCATGTGTAGAGTCTTCTCTTGTGTTGTTGGAAGTGGATATTTGCTATGACCAGTGCATTCTCTTGGCAGAACTCTATTAGCCTTTGCCCTGCTTCATTTTGTACTTCAAAGTCAAATTTGCCTGTTACTCCAGGTGTTTCTTGACTTCCTACTTTTGCATTCCAGTGCCCTATAATGAAAAGGACATCATTTTTGGGTGTTAATTCTAGAAGGTTTTATAGGTCTTCATAGAACCATTCAACTTCAGCTTCTTCAGCATTACTGGTCGTGGCATAGACTTGGGATTTCCGTGATATTGAATGGTTTCCCTTGGAAATGAACAGAGATCATTCTTTCATTTTTGAGATTGCATCCAAGTACGGCATTTCGGACTCTTCTGTTGACTATGAGGGCTACTCCATTTCTTCTAAGGGATTCTTGCCCACAATAGTAGATATAATGATCACCTGAGTTAAATTCACCCATTCCAGTTCATTTTAGTTTGCTGATTCCTGGAATGTCGACAGTCACTCTTGCCATCTCCTGTTTGATCACTTCCAATTTGCCTTGATTCATGTACCTAACATTCCGGGTTCCTATGAAATATTGCTCTTTACAGCATCGGACCTTGCTTCCATCACCAGTCACATCCACAACCGGGTGTTCTTTTTGCTTTGGCTCCGTCTCTTCATTCTTTCTGGAGTTATTTCTTCACTGATCTCCAGTAGCATATTGGGCACCTACCAACCTGGGGAGTTCATCTTTCAGTGTCCTATCTTTTTGCCTTTTCATACTGTTCATGGGTTCTCAAGGCAGGACTACTGAAGTGGTTTGCCATTCCCTTTTCCAATTAGGATTCCCTGGTGGTTCAGATGGTTAAGCGTCTGCCCGCAATGCGGGAGACCCGGGTTCAATCCCTGGTTTGTTAAGATCCCCTGGAGAAGGAAATGGCAACCCACTCCAGTACTCTTGCCTAGAAAATTCCATGGATGGAGGAGTCTGGTGGGCTACAGTCCATGGGGTTGCAAAGAGTCAGACATGACTGATTATAAAGAAGTATATAAAAAGATATATAGTACTGATTACAAAGAAATAAAAGGAATTATTACAGTATTATGAAGAAATGTACAACAGATTTAATAACATAGATGAAATGGACAAATTCCTAGAAACACAAAATCTCCTAAGACTAAACCATGATGAAATAAATAATCTGAACAGATCTTCAACTAATAAGGATACTGAATCAGCAATCAAAACTCTCTCAACAAAACAGCCCTAGACCTGATATTTTCACTGGCAAATTCTACAAAACATTTAAAGAAGAACTGATGCCAATCCTTCTCATGTCTTTCCAAGAAGTGAAGAAAAAACACTTTATAAATCATTATATGAAAAAAAATCATTACATGATACCAGTATTACCCTGATACCAAATGAGACAAGAGATTATAAGAAAACTACAGACCAAAATCCTTATAAACATTAATGCAGAGATCTTCAACAAAATGCCAGTAAAGAGAATTTAACAGCATATTAAAAGGATTACATACCATTACTAACTGGAATTCATTCCTGGAATGCAAGGATGGTTCAACCTATGAAACCTGACCAATGTAATATGCTTCATCAACAGAATAAAGGGAAAAAAGTCCACATGATCATCTCAATTAAAAAGCATTTTAACTGCACAAAAAGCATTTGAGAAAACTCAACAATCTTTCCTGAGAACAACACTCAGCAAATTAGGAATAGAAGGAAACTGTCTCAATTTAATAAAATCTATATATGATTTCCAGAGAAGGCAATGGCACCCCACTCCAGTACTCTTGCCTGGAAAATCCCATGGACGGAACAGCCTGGTAGGCTGCAGTCCATGGGGTCGCTAAGAGTCGGACACGACTGAGTGGCTTCACTTTCATGCATTGGAGAAGGAAATGGCAAACCACTCCAGTGTTCTTGCCTGGAAAATCCCAGGGATGGGTGAACCTGGTGGGCTGCCTTCTATGGGGTCGCACAGAGTCGGACACGACTGAAGTAACTTAGCAGCAGCAGCAGCAGCATATATAATTTCACAGCAAATATCAGACTACTAGTAAGAGACAAAAGTTTTTCCTCTAAGAACAAGAAGACAGATTTTAAGAAGCATATGATGTTCCTAACCCAATGGCTCTCAAATTTTTATATGCAGATTAACATGGAATATGTGAAAAATCAAAATGCATGAGTTCTTTTAGATTTGAATTTCCATACATAAGGCTAAAACTCTGCATTTCTAGTAAGCTTCCCAATTGATATTATACACACCAAATTTAAGTACCATAGACCCAATCATCTATAAATCTGGAAATATAAGCTGTGGAATAATTATACTTTCTTTGGTTAAATTATAAAATGAAAGACTACGAAAACACATTTTGCAAATGGCAATGCACAGTATAAAATGCAATAAATTCTTAAGTAACAACTCTTGTCATTGTCTTAACTCTAAAGCAGTTAGTCTTTTATCTTGGCTGAATCTTTCTACATAGGTATACTAAAAGGCTTTCCAATATAATAACAAACTACAAGCCTACTTCAAAAGCTGCACTCATCCTTAAAAGCTCCACATGAACAACAAACATCATTAATAACCAATAAATGCATTATTAGTTTGCTATTAACCACATGAACAACAAACATCATTAATAACCAATAAATATATTATTAGTTTGCTATTGATTATTTAAAACAGGTAACTAGTTTATTTGCACCAGATACCTGCAAAGAATAATGAAGAACTTGACAAGCAAAACTGACAAAGCTTGCTGTTCTTCCTCTAATCCATCAGCCATTTTCTGAACACACTGTAGAAGCTGGATCCTCAGAACCTGCAGAATATTATCAGGCAGCAAAGATATTCCAGGAGGCATATCATCCACCCTACAATAGAAATGGAACAAAACAAGAAGTGTGTTTAAATACAGGAGGAAAATCTCTGGCACTTTAAAGGAACTACATTTTCAGTTCAAATCCTCTAGATCACATATTCTGTGCCTCCTCTCTGCAAGGTACCACCAAATGATTAGTGATATTTTAAAAGATTATTAGAGCAGAGTGATTAGTAGCACTTCAGAGGAGGCTTACTGAAAAGAGAGAAAAAGATGCTATTGAGTATTCTCAACTGTTCTACTTTTAAAGAATATACTTAAAATATAGATTAGTTCACCTTCTATTACTTAGAAATAAAATATGTGTCCATACCAATTCTAAAAGAAACAGTAACTAGCAAATAAAAAAGAAGTACCTATAACTAGTTTAATATCTGTTAACTGCTTCACTAAATAAACAACATTCACCTACCTATAGGCTCCCTAAGCCATCTGATCAGAAGAGGGAGAGAAGATAACTAGCAAAAGGAAAGGAGAAAGAGATGAATGTAGAACTCCAAGCACAAACATCAACAGAAGACTCTTTTAAAGTAATATATCAATATTTTGTGACAAGCGGTTTCCGTATAAAACTATTTGGTTCTACAGGGCAAAAACCAACACCAGATATTAAGTGACTTCTTACATGTGCCTCTCACATTAAAATCCCCTAGATTCAATGTCAGAGGCCTGAATGCTAAATTCTACCTCTGTAACAACATATTCATTTAATCTAATCTCTGAAGTTCCCTAATCTTTGAAACTGTAATATCAGATATCTGCCCTATTTCACTGGGCTCTGAAACCAAGTAGTCAATGTGCATTTTCCACTTTAAAATAGGTGAAGCACTCTAAAAATGTAATGCATTTTAAATACACATTTCTAAAAAATAAAATAAAATAAAATAAAAATAAAAAAATAAATACACATTTCTAAAGCCTAAGAATCTTTTCATATGTCACTATACTAATTTTCCTATCTCTATTAGGAAAATGCTCAAATCATAAAGAAGCACTGTGAAGAACTTACATGATTAAATGACAATTAGACTTCATAATGGTCTCTTTTTCAGATAATGCTTAACATGAAGTATCAGTACTATTTTTACATTGAGTAAAAGGCATTCATTGTAGATAGAAAAACCTGAAGCACCTCAGTAGTAGTCACATAAACACACATGATAAATATTAGCCTCTTCCTGAACCACCCTACAATATAAATTAAAGTGTTTTATAAAATAAATACAAGTCACAAAGCAGACTACCAAGGTTGCCTAATTCTACAACTATGTTATAAAATATGTTTCGTTTTACACCAATACAGTATACTAACGCATATATATGGAATTTAGAAAGATGGTAATGATAACCCTATATGCAAGACAGAAAAAGAGACACAGATGTATAGAACAGACTTTTGGACTCTATGGGAGAAGGCGAGGGTGGGATGATCTGAGAGAACAGCATCAAAACATGTATATTATCAAGTGTGAAACAGATCGCCAGTCCAGGTTGGATACATGAGACAAGTGCTCAGGGCTGGTGCACTGGGAAGACCCAGAGGGATGGGATGGAGAGGGAGGCGGGAGCGGGGATCAGGATGGGGAACACATGTAAATCCATGGCTGATTCATGTCAATGTATGGCAAAAACCACTACAATATTGTAAAGTAATTAGCCTCCAACTAATAAAAATAATTGGGAAAAAAAAAGTAAGTAAATAAATATTAAAAAAATATATATGTTTCATTTTAGTCTGGGCATCATTTCACTTGCAACTTTGGATTCTTCAATTCTCTTATTTACAGATGGTGAAAGAAACACTCATTTTTATATTTAATTTTTTCTGAAGAGCTAAAAAAGGTGATTAGAAAAAACAGAGCAACTTCAAAATAAGAAATATTTAAATAAAACTGATTTTCAAGACTAAGCAAAACTATTCCTCTTCACTTTTCCAAAAATGTAAGTCAGCAAGAAAGAAGGCATCAGATTTCCCAATATTTCATTCTAGTTATTTAAAACCAGTTCCTTTTGTCCTTAGCTGTCCCTTTTTCTACTTAAATATGTTTTTATTTTCCTACGCAGAAAAAAATATGAGCTTCTAAAAGAGTAATCTTTTTTCTTAACTGACTCTCATAAAATTAGTTAGAACATGGTTTATAGTCCAAGTTGGAATTTTTGGCCTAATGCGATAAAGATTTCAGAATTTAGAAGTATGTTCCCACCTCTAAGACTTCATTGCCAAAATTCTAAGCTCCTTTTGCTGAAATTTCCCAAACTCCAGAAATCTTTTCCACTCCTCTGTTCGCCTACTCAATGTCTCCTGTAAACAGCTGCCAATTGTTCTAACACAGGAAAAAGCCCAGCTTAAATTTCAAGGCTTTGTAATCTGGTAAAAGCAACCCTTGCTTTGTATTATGAATTCTCTAACATGGAAATTTTATAAAGTCAGTATACTTTAAATGAGGACTATCGGTGAGCTGCTTTAAGATGACGACTAGTTTTATATATCTGACATATACTATTCACTTGAAAAATGGAAATTTACTACTAGCAAAATCTAAATCCATATTCTGACAAAGATATGAAAAATAATTTTATTTTATTTGAAAAATAATTTTAAATAAACTAAATCACAAGTAAAAACGCTATTGGCATTCTGCATCGTACTTTAAATGTAGTGGCAATAAAAACAAACATATCTACAACAATAAATGTAGTGGCAATATAACTCAATGTGCTGTTTTTAGAAATAACCTCCGAAGAAAGGAGACATTTATAACAGATGGATGATAACAAGCGCATCTTACAAAACGCCAAGCATTCAAAGGCCAAAATCCTGACTCCATAAAAACTCTTACATTCATGATTTAAGGTGAGCTGTAAGTTTTTATAATAAAAGCACTTCTAAGTATAAATGGTGGTTCATTTCCCTGGTGGCTCAGATTGTAAAGAATCTGCTTGCAGTGAAGGAGATTCAATCCTTCAGGTTGGGGCAATCTCACGGAGAGAGAAACAGCAACTCACTCCAATATTCTTGCCTGGAAAATCCCATGGACAGAGGAGCCTGGCAGGCTACAGTCCATGGGGTCTTAAAGGGTTGGACACAACTGAGTAACTGAGCATGCATGCACGCATGCAGTATAAACTAAAAGAATACTCTTTTATGAGTAGAAATCAATAATACATAATCTTGTTTGGAGTTAAAATTTAATACTGATTTTTCAGCCTTTATAAACTTGTAACAAATGATCTAATGGGGAAGAACTCTGAAATTGCATTTATAAACAATAAAGCACTTGTGCTTTCTGAGCATAACCTCACCGTTTCTTAAGTTCAAAGCTTTGGTCCAAAAACTCAAATGATTTTCTTTCTCTGAATTATTACAATCACCTCTTAATGGGGCTTTTTGCCTTCAGTCTCAACCCTTCTCAATCCAACCTCCATAATGGCACCTAAATGACTTAAAAAAAACAAAAAAGACTTGATCATGACATTCTTACACAAAAAATTCCTTACTAGAATCTTGTATCTTCCATAACAAAAAATCAAAGTCCATGAGGAGTGCATTTATGGCACTTCATGATCTGGCTCCGATTTGATTCTCCAAATTCAACTCACCTGGTCTACACTTTCAGTGCCTACCTCTACCCCCAAATTGCAAACATTTTCCTTCCTGAAAGTTTTTAATTTTCCAGATTCTCTTTTTTTTTGGGGGGGGGGGGGCGGGGGGGGATTGCACAGCAGGTCATGCAAGATCTCTGTTCCCTGGAAACTAAGGATCACACCGCCACCACCTTCAGTGGAAGCATGGGGCCTTAACCACTGAACCACCAGCGTGCTCACTCACGTCTAACTCTTTGCAACCCCGTGGACTGTAGTCCGCCAGGCTCCTCTATCCACACAATTTTCCAGACAAGAATACTGGAGTCCAGGGGATCTTCCAACCCGGGTATAGAACTCCATCTCCTGCAGCTCCTGCATTGGCAGGCGGTTTCTTTACTGCTGCGCCACCTGGGAAGCTAGGACCACCAGGGAAGTTCCAGTTCTCCAGATACTCTCCTTCATCATCAACCACAAGCCGTTTCTCCCCTCCCCTCTCAAGACATCTCTACAAACTGAGTTCCTTTGTGGCTAAAAGTATCTCCTCATCGCTCCAGCTTTTAACCACAACCAACCTAACCTCTCCTGACTAACAAGGATTAGGTCCACAAGATGACTTGAGATATAATACAAAGTTTATCCAGGAAGTGGGCCTGGGAACTATGAGACTATGGAAACGGTGGCAGGCAAAGGAATGGGAGAAAATACTTGTACTTTCACTTATAAAATTTCTCCAAGATTTTCATTTTTCCCCTATTTTATGATTTTCAAATCCAGTTTTTAAAAATCTGAAAATTTGACCTATTCCAAGGTGTTTTCCAGGGCCCTACTATAGGCCAGGAAAAATAAGTTTCAACTACAATGCCTGTTATGTAACAAAGAAATTTTAGGCAAATGAATGGAATGACACGTGGTGGACCCTTAGTTTCAAAAAAGGGGCTGGTCACATCTGAATGACTCACCTCCCAACTTTCTGAGAGGGGAGAGGAAGTACAGACTAAGGTCGATCGAACAGTCAATGATGTAATAAGACCCAACAAAACTCTGGAAAGCCAAAGCTCAAAGAGCTTCCTTCTTTGAACACACTGATGCTCAGGGAGAGCAATGCATGCTGACCCCACAGGGAGACAGCAAGAAGCCCTGCATCCAGGCCCCCCCAGCCCCGAGCCCTGTTCCTATGAGTAGCCTTCATAATAATATGTAATCCTAAATACAGGACTTTCAGTGAGATTTCTAAGTCACTGTAGCAAACTACTGAACATGATGGAGTCATGACGACCTCCAAATTTATAGCCCATTGGTCAGAAGTGTCAAGGTCTCCCTAGACTTGCTAATGATGTCTGAAGTGAGGACAGTCTCACAGAGGACATTGCCCTTAACTCGTGGCATATAGCATTAACTGTGGGTAATATCAGAACTGAAATGAACTGCAGAACACTCAGTTGCCAGTGCCTTAACAAAGCAAAGAGGAGGCTTCTAGAAGTCAAATTTAGTATCAGCAAGAAAGATGACTGTGATCAATCAGAAATGTCTGCTAGGAAAGCAGGCTTATGCGGGAGGGGCATGCGTGTCAATATAATTGCCATCCTTTTAATATGTCATCAATGAGATCTTTATGACAAGAATTAACAAATTCACCCAAGGGTAGGAAACTAAGTGTTTCTACATACCTGGTAGGCAGCTTTTCAAAGTCAACATCTAAGAATTGTTCATAGCTAGAAACAAAACTGTCCAACCACAGCTTCAGGTAATCTGGATCTTTCTGAAATAAGAAAATCATTGTAATATTAAGTATCAGGAGTCTTTTTTAAAAAACATTTTAACTCCTACTGAGAAAATATAAACTGATAATTTAAAGAATAATATGAAATATCTAAATGATACTCAAGAAGACATAGGAGCTGTTTTAAAATGTTTTAAAATTAAATATAATGAACCCATGTGACTCACACAAAGAGCCACGGTCTTAACAATACTCTGTAAGAATCTACACAACCTGCCCCCTCCTAACTCTGTGATCTTACCCACCATCACCCTGTACTATCACCCTGTACTATACCGGCTTCCTGGCTGTAACTGGGACAAGCCAGACATGTTCCCATCTGAGGCCTTTGCAATGGCTGTTTTCTCTATCTAGAACACTCTTCTCCCAGATAGCTGAATGGCTAACCCTTGCATCTTCTTCAAGTCATTCTTTAAATGTCTTATTCTCAACGAAGCCAAATTTTACTACCCTTTTTTTTTTCACTACCCTTTCTTAAAATTAGAAGCCTACTGACGATGTTTTCCTAAAATTATAAGCCTTTTAAGCCCACATTTACCTTATACGCTATTCTGTTGTCCCACTCCATGGTGCTCTCTCCCCTTCTCACCTACTCTAGAATTTATTCATTACCTGTCAGTTTCCCCAGACTGTGGGCTTCACAGTCATAGGGCCTATCTAAAGGCTCACCACAAGGGACCATTCTGTTTACTAACGGATACCAAGTGCCTGAAACAGCTCCCGGCACTCAACAAATACTTGCCCAATGAATTAATGAAAAATATAAAAAACATAAATAAAATAAAACTGGAGATGGGTCATTAACCTAAACATAAAAACTAAAAGATCTTCTAGAAGAAAATATAGGAGAATACCTTTGCAACCTTGGGGCACACAAAGATCTCTCAGCTTGGACACAAAAATCACAAACCAAAAAAAGAAAAAAATAATAACTGCTCTTATTCAAACTTTAAAACTTCTGTTTATTAGAAGACACCATTAAGAAAAGAAGGCAAGCCATATATCAGCTGAGAATATTCTCAGTACTTATATGTGACAAAAGACTTGTATCAAAAATATAAAAAGAACTCCGATGAATCAATGCAAAAAGGACAACTCAATTTAAAGACGGGCAAAATGTTCAGATGTTTCACAAAAGAAAATACACAAATGGCCAAGTAGCATGCAAAAACATTTACAATATCACTAGTTATCCAGGGAAATGCAAATTAAAATGAAATGGAATACCATCACACACCCAATAGAAAGGCTAAAATTTAAAAGACTGTCCGTATCAAGTATTGCTAAAAATGTGAATAACTGGAATTCACATTTCTGGTGGGAGTATAAAATGGTAAAATCACTTGGAAAATAGTTTAGCAGCTTCTTTTAAACATAAATTTACCATATGGCCCAGTCATTCCTCTCAAGAGAAAAAAACAAAAACAAAAAACACTTGTACCAAAATGTTCATAGAAGATTTATTTTTAATAGCCCTAAGCTGGAAATAAACCTAAATTCCATCAACAGATTAACTGATAAATTGTGGAATAGTCACACAATGGAAAGCTAGCTTGCAATAACAATAAACTACTGATATGACAACAATTAGAAATTTCAAAAACATGCTGAGCAAGATGCCAGGCATTAAAGCATATTGAAATTGTGATTTCAATTATAAAAGTTCTAGAGCATCCTATGGTGACAGAAATTAGATCACTGACTGTCTTTCAGAGGACTAACTACAAAAGGGCACAGAGGAAATCTTCCCAGGTAATAGAAATTTTCTATTTGTTTTATTAGGCAGTAGTTACACAAATGTTTGCTTGCACCAAAACTCATCAAATTTGACACTTAAAATCTGTGCGTTTTGTGGTAAGTTATATCTTAAAGATGATTTGAAAAAAACCACGATTCCTCATAAATTCTTTTAAATATAAATTGCATCATTAATAATGATGCTCAAAATGTTTCCTTCATGTTCTTGACACTTTTTTACTCCAGTCAATTTCAACATGACCCTCAGGAGTCTTATTTATCATTGGTTAGGCACTGCTCTTGGATAACAAGAACTCAAGCAATTTATTTCCCTAAAATAAAAGCATTACACACAAATGAGAATTCCTAAAAGAATGTTCCCAGAATATGCAGACAGCTGACCTTTTGTATATTTGTTTTTTCTATTAATACACTGTTCCAAAATCAGATCATAAATTGTTATAATCCACATCATCACTGAGAAGATGGAAATATTTCAGAAAAAGAACTACCTCTTCTGAGAAATTTTCTCAAGGATTTCATTAATTGTTTTTTTTTTTCATTTCCAATCAGCACGTCATCCATTCATTCATACATTAAAGATGAGACTCCAGAAATACAAGTAGCTGGAGTCTGCCTCTATTAAGAAGTCCCTTCTTAATACAGCAGTTTTAATAAACTGTGTAAAAGTTCAACACAAAACAGTCTCATAATGCCATAAAGAATTAATGTATTTCTCCTTATAGATTATTTAGAAACTCTACAGTATCTGGTTCAAAGTCTGAAAGTCAGGGCTATCAAGTGTTTGCTAAGTACAGAGTTCTCCTAGGAAGTTGAACAACTAACTATAAGGAAAGAAATGGTGTTTAAACCTGGAAATGTTTTACTTAGTAACAAGTGAAGCAGTTATAATCTTTTCAGATTCTGCAATGTGCAAGTACTATTGTCATTTAGTCACTAAGCTGTATTTGACTCTCTGCGACCCCATTCACTGTAGCCTGCCAGGATATCCTCTATCCATAGGATTTCCCAGGCAAGAATACTAGAGTGGGTGGTCATTTCCTTCTTCAACAGATCTCCCTGGCCCAGGAATTGAACCTGAGTCTTCTGCATTGGCAGGCCGCTTCTTTACCACTGACCAACCAGGGAAGCCCACCAAGTATTAAAGCAACTATTTTAAAAGCATACATCATCCCAATGACTCCTTACAACCATTCAGAGAGGGTTTCATTTTTCTCATCTTACAGGTTAGAAAAGCACAGTTCTAAGGATATATAACATCCACAGTCAGACAGCTAGTCACTGATAGTGCAGGGATTAAAATGCAAAGGTATATGAAGCCAACTGTGTCCTCTCCACTACACTACACTACTTTTGAATTGTGAGCAGGAATAAAATGGAGCTTTGGCTTTGTGAGTAAAAAGAGGAAAAGAGGAACTGAGTCAGGATCAGTACACTCAAGTCCATAAACAACTTTAACACATAAAAAAGCCACATCCGACACAGCCTGAGAAAACCCTTAAAATGATCTATACTTTACTGCCAAAGGTCATAAAAGGAAAAGAGTCCACACACCCAGAAACAATATTAATTAAATCTCAAGCTTAGGCATTTTCATGGTTATAAGAGTGTAGTATAATAAAGTACCACAGCAGCGTCTATCTCCCCAGTTGCACAATATTTATTAACACAAAACACAAATGCATTAAGTACTGCAGAAGCACTGAGGTCAAATTAAAGGGACACTAATCCCCGCTCTGCACTTTCTTGAACAAGTCACTCTACGTATGCACAAGTTTCTTCTGTAAAAATGAAAATAATCATGGCACCTTTCTTTACAGGGTTGTGAAAATGAAATAACCCAGTCAGTGTCAACCGCTTAGAATAATGCCTAGCACATAATATAGGCTAAGTATAGTTATTTTTATAACCTATTACGTGCCTAAATTAGGTAACACTCCCCAAACAAGAATGTTCTAAGCTACACATATGCATACTTAAATATTTCATGATCCCCAGTGACACATGATCTTAATTGTATTCCTTTCCTTTCACATCTGCTTGCATTTACTATCTGTGTGACTTTGGGCAGGTAACTTCATTTCTCTGATCTGTTCTGGATTTATAAAATGAAGATAATACTTCTCCTTACAGCACTGTTGAAAGCACTGAATGCGATAATACATGTAAGGCATTTGGCAATACCTGACATTTAGCAAATGCTCAAAACATGTCAGTTACCATTATTAAGACATAGATTCTGCTATCAAGTTGGTCATGATCCAATGTCATAAAATAAGCAATTATAAAATAATTTAAAATCAACTTTATTGATTTTATACTCAAATATCCATCCAATCATCTGCCACTAAAATAATTGTTCATTTTGGACTGTTATGTAGCTCCCCACAGGTCTCTGTAGTTTCAATTGCTCCCAGTGACACACAGCTACTAATGGGATTTGTTCCATTTAAATATAATCTTCTCTTCTGCTCAAATATGTTCAAAGGTTCCTCATTACCAGAGGATGAAGTCTAAACACTTAGAGATGTACTGTCCAATGCAGTGACCACTAGCTGAATGTGATGACTTAAATTACATTCAAGCATGAGAAATGTTTACCTTTTCATAACATCCACTCCTCTGCTGGGCGGCTTTAGTAGTAATAGGATTATGAGAGCCATATAACTTCACCAAGTTCTCATGGGGCAGGATCACAGGTAAGAATAGAGGGAACGCCTTCCCTTCTCCACACAACGATATTTGGGTTTTAATATTCTTTCAAGATTCCCTGACGGCTCAGTGGGTAAAGGATCCGCCAACAATGCAGGAGACCCAGGTTCAATCCCTGGGTGGGGAAGGTCCCCTGGAGAAGGATATGGCAACCCACTCCAGTATTCTTGCCTGGAAAATCCCATCAACAGAGAAGCCTGGCAGGTTACAGCCCATGGGTGCAAAGAGTTGGCCATGACTGAGCACAAGGCTCACACACATATTCTTTCAAGTTTTATAAACTTTTAGAGACACACATATATTTCACCTATATCCCTATCCTCTACTGAATTACTTTTAAGCAAATCCAGACATCATATTTCAACCACAAATACTTCAATACACAACCATAAAATATATCTTTTGAAATATGACAGTACTATCAGTCTGATAAAATTAGTAGCTCTTTAACATCAGTTGATGTTCAAATTTTCCTGACTTGCTCAGAAATGCCCTTCTTAACTGTCTGA